TTAAAGTATTCAGATAAGAATACGGCCACGTGGTGTTGCTGAATGTTTAAAGTATTCAGATAAGAATACGGCCACGTGGTGTTGCTAAATGTTTAAAGTATTCAGATAAGAATACGGCCACGTGGTGTTGCTGAATGTTTAAAGTATTCAGATAAGAATACGGCCACGTGGTGTTGCTAAATGTTTAAAGTATTCAGATAAGAATACTGCCACGTGGTGTTGCTAAGTGTTTAAAGTATTCAGATAAGAATACGGCTACGTGGTGTTGCTAAGTGTTTAAAGTATTTAGATAAGAATACGGCCACGTGGTGTTGCTAAATGTTTAAAGTATTCAGAGAAGAATACTGCCATGAACGTTATTCTTAGTTAATTTTCCACTTTTTTATTTTGTTTGTTTAGATGGTTCGCGAGATTAGGATAAATAGTTAGTTTTCCTGGATCAAGACACTTAGACTTCCACTTTATAAACAGGTCAGTCTTCTATTGGTTGACGGAAGATGTTAAAATAATGGTACTTAGTTCAACTTATTCTCACTAGGCGTGATTTGGTAAATTTGTTAATTTCAGAGTATAATAATCGGGGGAAAAAAAGGTATAATATGTCGTGTTAGGTAAGTGACGACGTCCAAGTTCCGAATTTTGTTACGTAAGACATGTACGTGTGTATCACGAGTGAAATATATATATATATATATATATATTAGCTGGAGTACCCACCGCCTCTGGACGGAAGTTATGTAAATTCATGATTAATGAAAGGTTGCTTCCCTTGTATGTAATTGTAACAAACGCCTATGAAAACCCAACAAACCTCCATGCCAAATTTGGTGAAGATCCATCAACAGGGGGCGAAGTAGTGGTAAAAAACGCAAAAACACCCATAAAACCCTGCGAAACAGTTACATGGACATATAACAGACAGTACTATTATATTTATATCGATATTAGAAAAACATGCGATTGAACAAATAGGCTAGAAAAATAATAATAAAAAACAAATATGCAGAGAAGATGTAAAAATGAGAAGGTTGTCCTTAGCGAAGAGTTAAAAGTTTCTTAAATAACAACAACAAAACAGTTTCAGTTCGAGAAAAATGTGTATATTATTAAAATATTAAATAAAAAAAGTAACTGTTACCAGCTCTTAACGAGAGTAATTTAATTTTTTTTTCTCCAATCTCGAACGACTAGAAATATCAACTTTGAAATCTAAAACAAACATATGTAGTTTATTTTGTATGTATTACTCTTTTCGAAAATAACATAGGGACTACGTCCGAGTATCTAATCTCTTCCAGTTTCAAGTGTTATTTTTCGCCTAAAAGTTGGAAGCTACGGGCGTAGTTTGAGAGGATAACTACAGGGGGTGTGACCATTAACTTTCTTCAGAGATGCTTTTCCTTTATAACGATCTCATAAATCAAGGCCGCTCTGCATTCTTTTCACTGTTTCAATACGTTCTGGTTGGATATTGTCTTCATTTTGCTCAACAGCTGTGTACGAGCCAAACCTCGCGCTGCTTGGTGTTTAACTATATAGAGGTCAAAGGTCATCATTTGCTTAGTGTGTAACTATACAGAGGTCAAAATTCATCGATATATGGAAGTCAAACTTAAGCGCCATTGTCAGCATCTCCTCCTTTAATAAATATAACTTTACATCACTTAATAACGTTTCCTCGTGCTCTTAAAAAATTTTCTCCGAAAGAAGAAGAAATACTCGACGTAAATATTAACGTTATACAAAAACTAAGAATTCATGCTAGTCCTAACTAGACTTCGGCAGACGTTCTTTTCACGTTAGTGCTAACTAGACTTCAGCAGACGTTCTTCTCACGTTAGTCCTAACTAGATTTCGACAGACGTTTTTTTCAGGTTAGTCCTAACTAGAATTCGGCAGACGTTCTTTTCACGTTAGTCCTAACTAGATTTCGACAGACGTTTTTTTCAGGTTAGTCCTAACTAGACTTCGGCAGACGTTCTTTTCACGTTAGTCCTAACTAGACCTCAGCAGACATTCTTCTCACGTTGGTCCTAACTAGACTTCGGCAGATGTTTTTTCACGTTAGTCCTAACTAGATTTCGGTAGACATTTTTTCACGTTAGTCCTAACTAGAATTCGGCAGACGTTCTTTTCACGTTAGTCCTAACTAGACTTCAGCAGACGTTCTTCTCACGTTAGTCCTAACTAGATTTCGGCAGACGTTTTTTTCTTCAGGTTAGTCCTAACTAGACTTCGGCAGACTTTCTTTTTATGTTAGTCCTAACTAGACTTCTACTACTGATATCAACCAAGAAGCATATCTTTTGTCTACCACTTCACAATCTTACAACATCACACCTGACTTGAGATGTTTTTACTTTTAATGTGTTTATCTACACTGATACGTTTAATGTGTTACCCGTATGCACACTTATGGGTGTGCACTTATTCCAGTGAAGTTTGGATTTTATTTATACTTCTACATAAAGTATTGTTTTGATTTTTTAGGAAGATGGCGCTACTTTACCTCGGAGGATTAAATCAACTCATCCAACTTAATTAATATGCTCTTACCTATATTAATGATGTTAGAAAATCACGTAGGTTCAAGAAGTCTTGATAGAAATGAATTAAACCCCTATAACCCGAGCACTTTCGAAAAGTGGACCTTTTCTCTTCAGGGGGAAACTGGGAATGGTCTTGGAAAGGTGGGCCTTTCGAAAGCGCTCGGGATATAGAGTTTTTGCTCATTTCCATGCTCTTACCTATATCATTGAACGACAACTCCATTAAAGAAGCACTAGGCAAAACTAATGATTGAATTATACAATTACGTTCTTATGTTTTGCTGAGCTCTTGTTTAATAGTTTCCGCTAGAGGGCGGTAACTAAAATTCATCGTTGTTACGACATACTTGTTTGTTGTTAAGCGATTAATAGGAACTTCAATGAACTCTTTATAAGAGCTGCTAAAAAAACATCTCGGTAGTTATAAAAGAAAATTACATCTGTAGTTTTGTAGCTATTGACTACAGTGAAAGCAACTAGTTAACAACACCCACCGCCTACTCGAATCGAATTATGGGACTAAACCGTCACAATTACAACGACCCCACGGTGCGGAGTTTGATGTTGCAGCAATGAGACACAAACTGGGGCCACTCAGACTTACAACGCGGTACACTAACAACTAGGCCTCGCCTGTACCAGAAATAATCGTGAAAATAAATTAGTTATTAGAAGAAAAACACGAATTCACAAAATATGAAATTCAAATAGAAATGCAGCCTAGTTTTTCCCTGCTTCGTTATAGCCTTAATGTGTTAGACTTGAGTTTTCCTAGTAGTAGTGCAAGTTGGCCTTGAGTTCTAATGTTTTTCAGACGTAATTAGGTTTCAGAGATTATTTCTCAGTAGCTAGGCGACTTCTATACGTACCTTCGTCGTGGAAGTGTTTATGTCTGATACATGAGATATGTGTTGACGTTTATGTCGGTAGTTTTATATTGGCTCGGGGGGGGGGGGATCTGTCTGTTGAAACATGCTAAGCGTTCCGAAGGCTTCTATCAGAGCTCACCTGGATATTAGTTTCATGGTCCAGCTGTCTATGTAATATCTACTTGGGTTAAGCGTGCCCCAATAGTTAGAGTACCGTACTGTGGATCTGCAGACCCATCATTCGCGTCCTGTTCTCACCAAAAGGCCTGGCAATCTGAGGGTCGCGGGTTCGAATCCCGTCACTGAACATGCTTGCCCTTTCAGCAGTGGGGGCGATATAATGTGACGGGCAATCCCACTATTCGTTGGTAAATGAGTAGTACAAGAGTTGGCAGTAGATGATGTTGACTAGTTGCCTTCCCTCTAGTCTATCAGTGCTAAATTAGGAGGGCTAGCGCCGACAGCTTTGCGCAAAATTCGAAACAAATCAAACAAACCTAAAACACACCAAAAAGAAAAAATAATAATAAAAACTCGTGGTCTGAACTTGCGGGTGTTGTTGATTAGCTGCCTTCCATATAGAGGCGACTAGCGCCAAAAAAAAAAAAAGCCTTTGTAGGTTTCTGCAAGGGAAACTACGTCGCAGGGTTATTTTCGTTATACACAGTCGTTAGATAGAACACGACCGGACATGGCGACATGAACTGTAACGAAGTGGTGAGGCTTCAAACTTGTTTGAATATAACGTACTCAACCTCCGTATGTCCTATTGCTCCATAAAAATCTAAGCGTTTGTCGAAATTTTCCCCCGACTCTGTTAGATCTAAATAATCCCATTTGATAAGCTTTAATATGATCGTAATTAAAATATTTTCCGTTTAGCTTGTGTTGACTTTCAGTATACCAATACCGTGTGGCAAGAGAAACGAACCTGGAGAATTAAACATGAAAAAATGAGTAACCCTAGTTAATAAGGGAAAAATTACAACACCTATTCAGCCTGGCCTGTACTAATTTAAAACCGTAGTTACATGAGCTATAATAGTCATAAATCAGAACATGGGATTTTTAGGTTGGCTCGGAGCGTGTATTTACGGCCCAAATCTTCGGAAGACCAGTTTTGTTCAGCTATATTTTTAACACGTCCCTCAGGAGCCAAAGGGTGTCTTTACACTACAATTCGTTGAATATATTAAAAGTAAGTTCAATCCGGAAACTCTCAAAGAGGGTGGGTTTTGCACGTATTTTTTCGAAACAAGTTTTCGTTTCTTAACTGTTAAATTTTAAAGTGAAATACAACATCCTCAAGTTTCTATACTAGCTAGCACTAAGGTCAAGCCGCAGGGAGTAAATTCAGTATA